CATCCTTAGTCTTCTCAATGGAAACTTTATCAACAAAAAACGGAAGATTTAGTGAAAAGATTGGGTATGGAGAGTTCTTTTGTTATGGACTGCATATGACATAGGAGGTGATTTCTGGAAGGTGATAGGAGCAAACGTAGTGGATTTTTGCAAGCAGATTTTTCTCTCAGGTAAGCTTCGTGGAAGAGTTAAGCACACACATATTGTCCTTATCTCTAAGAAGGACCAGCCTGAATCTGTGGCAGATTGGAGGCCTATCTCTTTGTGTAATGTTATTTATAAGGTTTTCTCCAAGATTCTTGCTAATAGGATCAATTATATTTTGAATGGGCTCATTTCTCCCAATCAAAGTGTGTTCATCCCAGAATGATCAATTATTGACAATATAATGATAGCCTTTGAGTTCCATCATTTTTTGAAGTGGAAAAGGCAAGGGTCTTAATGGCTTTGCAGCTCTAAATTGGATATGAGAAAAGCATATGACATAGTAGAATGAGTCTATTTATGGGTTGTAATATTGCGGTTAGGTTTTGATTAAAAGTGGGTGGACATTGTCATTGAACAATCTGTTCGGTTACTTATTCTATTCCATTTGATGATCAAGAGTGGGATATGATCTATCTGTCAAAAGGGAAACAGGAAGGTGAATCCATTTCACCTTACTTGGTTATATTGGTTGCAGAAGGGCTTAGTGCAAGGATGCGGAAAGATTCAAGAAGTGGCTATTGCGAGAAGGGCACAAAGAGCGTCTCACTTATTGTTTGTAGACGATAGCTTCTTATTTTTTAAAGCCTCACATCAAGAGAGTTCAGTTATTAAGGAAGTCTTGTACTATTATGAGAAAACATCGAGATAGGTGATAAATTTCAACAAGTTTGTGGTGACTTTCAGCTCAAACGTTAATCATGATGTTAGGGCAGGCTTAATTTAAATGCTTGGTGTGAAAGCGGGATAAGTGGCCGCAAAATACTTAGGCCAGTCTTCTCTTGTTGAAAGGAGTAAAAGGAGGTCCTAGCTTTATCAAGAAAAGGTCATCAAACGCATAAACAAGTGGAATCATACATTTTTGTCCAGGGCTGGTAGAGTGATAGGGTGCTGAAATATAAAAGGCGCAAGAAACGAGGACCAATTGTTGACTGAGTCTTCATTTATTTATTTATTATTGTTTATTTGTTTAAATGAGTCAGTTGGAGAAATAAGTGGGGTTTGGTGTCATGCATCAGTCCACTAGGGTAGTTATTAGATCATGGGGTAGTTACTAGATCATGGATGAAGTCAGTTTACATCAGTTGTGTGAGTTAGTTTTAGGCAGTTAGTAGTCAGTTGTATTTCTCTCATTAAATAGCCTAGCCATATTCAAGCTAGGTATGCATGAATCAATATCAGTTTCAGACCTGGAGATTCTCCCTTGGCTTCTACAATCACTCATTTGTGAGATACTCACTGTGAGAAGAGAGTAGGAGAGTTTAAATCATTCCATATCTTTCCTTTTAATTTCTGATCTTATCATAGAGAGACTCTCTTGAAGGCAATAATTCAAGCACTGCCCATTTGTGTGATGCAAGGTGCAAGTGTTCTAGCTACCGAAGGAGCTATGTTCATAATTGGAACGAATAATGAATCATTTATGGTGGTGCGTGAGTATAGGCAACGGTAATAAATGGAAGGAGTGGTCAGGTATGACTTAATCAAAGGCAAGAGGGGGATGGGATTCAGAAAGCTTCACGAGTTTAACCTTGCCATGCTTGGCAAGCAGATTTGGAACTTTATGCAAACCCCAAATTCTCTGGCAGCTATGATTTTTCAAGCTAAATATTTCCCTCGTAAGTCTCTGTTAGAAGTTCATATTAGCTCTAACCCTTCGCTTATTTGGCGAAATTTGTGGAAGGCTAAAGAGAACATCAAAGTTGATTTTTGGTGGCAGGTAGGGGATGGGAATTCTATTAAAACTTAGGAGTTATCCTTGGCTCTCTTCTCTGTTTACCAAACTTGCGGATCACAACCAGTGTTATTACTGGACTGGAAAATATTACACTAAAGACGCTATTTACAGTGAGAGGAAATGGTTGGGAAGCTGGCCTTCTGTCGATTTGTTCAATGAACAGGATCAACATTTGGTGAACAGTATTCTGGTCAGGATCAGAAGAGTTCATGACAAAATCATATGGCCTTGGAGGAAAGAGGAAGTTACATTGTTAAGAGCAGGTAAGGAGGTGCGGATAATCATGAGAACCATGGACCCACATGTGGAGAGTATATATCCCACCCAAAGTGAAGGGGTTTGTCTGGAAACACTCTACTATGATTGTCTTCCGACGATCGATAATCTTTTGGTTAGACAGGTAGCTTGTTCCCCCAGGTGTGCGCGTTGTGTGTGAGGATGGAAACGAAATTGTTGCACATCTTTTTAGGAGTGCACAAGTGTTAAGCAAATCTGTAATTTCATTAATTGGGATTTAAGTAGTGGGGATGGGCTTTCATTCAAAGATTGGGTGGATGAATTTTTCAGTTGTAAGGACAATGAAGCTTGTTGTGAGTTCTTGATGTATCTGTGGAGTATATGGAATGGCCGAAAAGAGAAGATGTGGAATAATAGGCATTTGACAACATCGAGTGTAGCAGCCACCGCCTCAACTTTTTTGGAAGGCTGGTGTAGAGCTCAAAGGCCATCCGATATGAGTGGAACATGAGCTGCCGTTATGAGTTGGGTAGTTTGGAACTATCTAGGATGGATTTTTTTTTTTTTTTGACGGGCAGCGTAGTAAGGGGGGCTTCTTCTCAGTGAGGCAGAAGCTTTATCTATGCAAGAAGCATTGAGTTGGCTGAAAGAAATTTGTTGGGATAAAGTTGACATAGGGTCAGATGTTATTTATCTTATCACAAGTATCAAGATAAGTGCAACATATTCATCTTTGTTTCATTGTTGAATACATTAGAGAACTTTCGGCTAGTATTTCTACTATCACGTTTTATTATATTAAGTGATCGGCGAGTCAGGTAGCTCACCCTATCGTAAGGGCAGATATTTTTACGTCTGATTGCTATGCTTGAATGTCTTTTCCTCCGAATTTTAGTCGGTTGTATTTGGACAATCATTTGTTAAGTAATGATAGTTAATCATTTTGCTTAAAAAATGATATTGTTACAAACATGCTTTTAAATGATAATGCTTTCTACTTCTAACTTCTTCAATGGAACAATATTTCTTCATAACAGCTTCTAGAGCACTTTAGGCATGGACCCGGTTCGGGCCGCCCGGCCCGGGACCGGCCCGGCCCGCCACTGTGCGAGCCCGGAACCGGCCCGGTTCTCGGGTCCGGGTCCGGGTCGGGCCTAGGCCCGGTGGGGTGGCCGGGTCCGGGCTCGGGCCTTGAATTTGGCGAACCGGCCCGGCCGGCTCGGGCCCGGGCTCGGGCCTTGAATTTGGCAAACCGGCCCGGCCGGCTCGGGCCCGGGCTCGGGCCGAATTGATTTTTTTTTAATTTTTTTTTTCTTTTTTTGGGGTTAGCCAAGTTGGGCTTGATGGTTAGGAGGGGTTTGGGGGTTTGGCGGGGTGTGGGGGTGAGTGGGGGGGTTAGGAAAGCAAAAAAAAAAAAAAAAAATTATAACCGAACCGGAGGCCCGGCCCGGCCCGGCCCGGACCCGGACCGGACCCGGTGGCTACCCGGGCCGGTCCCGGGCCTTCCTTCCCAAAAAAAAGCCCGGCCGGTCCCGGCCCGGAACCGGCCCGGCCCGGGTCCATGACTAGAGCACTTGAGTCTAAACATTCTTCTAGTAATTATTACTATTCAACCGGATCAGAAGCGGGGACAAATTGGTGAAAAAAACCACTTGAGACGGTGTTTAGACTAACAAATTGATCAATTTTTTGTGAGTGATAAACTTTTGATCATCGACTTTAGAATTATCAAAATTTCACATTCTAGGTATTGTCAAATTAACATTTGCAATCTTTTTACTTTGATTTTGTCATTAAAAGTTAAGGTCTATAAATATCAAGATTGTGTTTGATAATATTAGTTAGTTGCTAACTCATAGCAATTTGAATCAACAAATTGCTATTAGCGAATTCCATTAGTTTTGTTAACTAACCGCTTTCATTAGCGATTTAAAATCAAATGTTAGTCATTGCAACTAACTTTGCAAACGTAATTACGTAAAATGACCATTAAAATGAATTTTAAACTACGTTAAAACAATTTCATCAAGCAATTAGTCTAAACAATTTCAGACGTCCGTGTCTTCCCGTTTGACTTTTAAACTAAAATTTGTGACATAAACTAGATTTGATTTTAAAAAAAATGCTCAAACAATTTCATCAAAAAATATCATTGAGAAGGGCCCCCAAATGGTCTTAATCGGACAGCAAGTCTCATCAGACATTCAGACCAGCTTGTTAGAATCGCTAATCTCTGAATACGCATAATCATACATACATTAATGTGAAACATATTTTGTGAGAAACTAATTCTGCTTCTTTTTTAAAGCAGAAGCAGAATCAAAATAAGTTTTCAAAAGCTGGTAACCCTCAGCTTCTAAAAAAACTGATTCTAGGAGTAAATCTGAACACCAGAACCACTTCTACATTTTCACTCAAACACTCCAACTTCTGCTTCTACTCCTCAAAGGAGCAGAAGCAGTTTTAAGAATCGGATCCAAACACCCCCTAAGCCCTTAATCCCCATACCCATCCATGACTAAATTGCCCTGTAATGATCACATAAGCTCCTTGTGTACCACCCTGCCTAACACCTAATATACTTTAGAGCACTCGCAACATGAAAAAACAAAGTTATCTATTGTGAGCATAAATTATAAGATTTATCATTTGTTAATACTCCTGTTATATATATGCATTGAATTTGAACTGTAAGATATAATGCGTGGTAGCACTGTGTACAGTATGGGTGTGTTACCTGAACTCTTGAAAATCTGGTGATTTCTTAGACTGTCATGTTATAATCTCGTTCAAGATTGAACATTATACCAAACCAGCTCTATGTATCGAATAATAACATATTGTATGCACAATATTGTATATCACTGTACACAATCTCAAACAGAACCCAAAGCTATAAATAATATGTGAGCATAATTAAATATGGAAAAATTATTCAGGAGATAATTCTAAGCCGATTCTTCAAATACGAAAAAAAACACAAATTACACATGCATCCATCCACGTGGATAAAAAACACAGAACCTTCCAACCTGACCATCACAATACTTTCCAAAACAAAGTATCATAAAATTTGCCTTGCAATAAACTATTAACATAAGTCCGCCAGCTGATTAAAGAGCCATATAATAAGAAATTGAAAAGAAAGAGAAAAAACACATCACAATCAAACGCTCACCAACTACAAACACTTGCTAGTAATGACACATCTAAGGCAGAAAAGGCAAACCGTTGTCGCAGTCCCCTGCAATATGAGAGAGACAAAGATGCCGTCATTTTTGATAAAGATACATATGCAACACACAGGGAAGAAGTGTTACAAACCCCAGAAACTCACCCTCTAAGTAGTAGTAATAGTAACAGTAGAAGCATTTTAGAAGCACTTCCTGTGGACAATTGATGGGCCAGACTCCTCATACTCCCCTTTTGAAATCCACATCTGATTAAGCGATCCAAAAAATCAAGGTTAAAGATCTAATGAAGAAAACAGCGACTTTACTGATGCAACAACATGTCAAACAAACCCTCAGTGCTTAAACAATGTCCATTTTGGTCAAGATCAAATAAACTTTGTGAAAAATCATGACATGTATATTTTTTTAAACAATACTTGTTTGAAAAGTGTTTCGAGTCTTTTGACAAATTAAACACTTTTTAGGTCACCTGCTGGAAAGTGCTGAGGGAGGCAAGGATGGATCCACCAATCCAAACACTGTATTTTCTTTCAGGCGGTGCAACCACCTTAATCTTCATACTGCTGGGAGCCAAAGCAGTGATTTCCTTGCTCATACGATCAGCAATGCCAGGGAACATTGTAGACCCACCACTGAGAACAATATTACCATACAGATCCTTCCTGATATCCACATCACACTTCATAATCGAGTTGTATGTGGTCTCATGAATACCAGCAGCTTCCATCCCAATAATAGATGGCTGGAAAAGGACTTCTGGGCAACGGAACCTTTCTCCCCCAATGGTGATGACCTGTCCATCAGGCAACTCATAGTTCTTCTCAACAGAAGAACTGCTCTTTGCAGTTTCAAGCTCCTGCTCGTAATCGAGTGCCACGTAAGCAAGTTTTTCCTTCATGTCACGAACAATTTCTCTCTCGGCAGTTGTAGTGAACATGTAACCTCTCTCAGTGAGGATCTTCATGAGGTGATCGGTGAGGTCACGTCCAGCAAGGTCCAGACGGAGGATGGCATGAGGAAGAGCATAACCTTCATATATTGGTACAGTATGGCTCACACCATCACCAGAATCCAGAACAATACCTGCCACCAAATAATCACATAACATTTTAGAATGCTCAATATTTGATTTTCCATAGGTTCTGTTTGGAACTCTGTAAATGCTAGGTAAAGAAACATGGAGTAACACAGAGAGGACGTTGGGAAGAAAATAAATATTTATTGTTTGGGGGGGAATTGGTTCAACCTCAATACATAAAATATATATATTTTTCCAATCTTGTTCTATTCCAATATAAAGACTGAGAAATCTAAAAATACTCCGTGTGTAAAAGTTTTGAACAAATTATATTTTCCTAGGTAAAACCCAAACATTAAAAAACATTCCTCTTGGTATTTTTTTCTTCCCCTGCTGTTTCCAAATCGCCAAACATTGACAAGCAAAAAAATCATAGGAGCAAAAAGTAGAAAGTAATCATATACAAACCAGTTGTGCGACCGCTGGCATACAAGGAGAGCACAGCCTGAATAGCAACATACATTGCAGGAACATTGAAGGTCTCAAACATTATTTGAGTCATCTTCTCTCTATTTGCTTTTGGGTTGAGGGGTGCTTCGGTGAGAAGGACAGGGTGCTCCTCAGGAGCGACACGTAATTCATTGTAGAAAGTGTGGTGCCAAATTTTTTCCATATCATCCCAGTTACTGACAATGCCATGCTCAATTGGGTATTTCAAGGTCAAGATACCCCTCTTAGACTGAGCTTCATCACCCACATAGGCATCCTTCTGTCCCATCCCAACCATGACACCTGTATGTCGAGGGCGACCAACAATACTGGGAAATACTGCTCTTGGAGCATCATCACCGGCAAATCCAGCCTAATAATTTGAAAGCATAAACCATATGTTCAATAAAAATGCATGGCAGCTCAGAATATATTTTGATTATTAAAAGAGCACACTAACCTTCACCATTCCAGTTCCATTGTCACATACAAGTGGCTGGATATCCTCACCATCAGCCATTTTCTATGAAATGCAAAGAAAGCTCAATGTAATTGCACAACATTTCAGAAAATTGGGGGCACATAGAGAAGCAAAACAAATTTCTCAGACTGCAGTTGAAAGCACATAATAAGGATTTCAAATCAAGAAACCTTGAGATATACTAATGTGCTTTGGATAAGGAAAAGATCATTATAAGGATTTCAAGGTACTCTATACTTAAAAAAGGCCTTATCTACACTATATGAGTATATGACAGCATTCAACTCCTAAGGAAATTATTAAGAGATGAAAAAAACTACACCAAGTATACACATATTACATACAACTAGAGATCTACTATGCAAAACATCACAGATCTATGACACCCTAAAGCAGATCAAGTTAGTGCTACTTTACTTAGATTTATATGCCATCAAAACCACAGATCGTAACGTAGGGCATAGATCGTAAACTCAACCATCACTATGCTAAGATTCGACTACATCCGGCAGCTTCACAGTGTAAAGGCGATTTAAAAGTCAGGAAAGAAAAAATATAAGCAATAATATTTAAAGCTCCAGATTTTTTTGCTCTGGATCTCGAAACATAAATGAAAATAGATTCATGAGTGCAAAACCTGACAGTTTATGTTAGATACAAAAACGAACACCAAAGATCAGTTCAGAGTCAGATCTCGAATTAGCTAGCTGAAGTTACCTGCGCAGGAGTGAACCCGAGATTTGACTATGGAGATTACGGCTGGCCGCCTAGCTTTCTCTCCCTAGATTCGGGCTAACGGGTTGCCAAAAGAGTTAGAAAGGAGAATCGGTAGGCGTAAATTGGACAGGGTTATATATGCAGATGAATGTTTAATAGTCACTGATCACAGCGAAGACTCTGACCCAGACACGCGTTAGAATACAAATGTGACGGAGTTTTGTTTTGGGCTTTGTATGTTCTTGACTCGAAGCTTTGAAATCCAAATAAGTTAGCAAACATGTTGAGAATTCTTTTAAGTTAAGTTATAGACTTATAGTAATCTTTTTATGATTACTTTGTCAAATTATTATAAACATTTGCCTTTACTTTAAATAAAAAGTATAAAACTGAGTCAATAATTACTTCATTTCTATTGAAATTATGCATTATTATTCATCATGATGATCAAAATGGCAATCCAATAAAACAAACATAAACATCGTTAAAAGGAAACTTGAAGAAATAGGAAAATCATGTAGCAAAAGATAAGGAAAGCAAAATATCCATATTAATTAGCTTACAATAAATAATATGAAAACAATTCCATTCAAAATAGAGTTGCTTTTTCGGAAATAACATTCAAAATAGAGTGATTGTCTTGGATCACAAATATTGGACTTAGATGGATCACAAATATTGGACTTAGTTTTGCTTTAAGATTGAGAGCATGTTCTCTCTTTCTTGATTTTTCATAAATGACATTATAAACAAGGTATGATGTAGATTGATGTTCATTGCTTCCAATTGTTTAGGCTTTGAACTTATTAATTGCTTTCCCCTACATTTTACATTTGCATTATCCTTCACTCACTTTGATTACGCATAATTGTCACTTATACATGATGACTAAGAAAAGTGGTTTACTTGTTGATTGTTGTTTTCTCCTATGGTAGATCATATTTTTTTCTAAGGGGTATATTTCAGCACATATTGTCACATGTTTTAAACTCATCAACAACGTTGTCATATGATTTGCAACTCGTCAGTTGATCACACAAATTTTTTTAAACATTGTGGCATAGCAAACAAAGTGAAGAAAGCGATAAATAAAATGTAAATTGATTAAGATGTAAAACAAACAATTGAATGTAGAATGAATTTTATATAATGGGGATCTAGAGAGAATAATGAGAGACTCTCAAAGTAAGAAATTGATTATTGATTGATAATATAAATAGAAATAATCAAGAGACATACTCTTACGTACAATGAATGAGATGATGAATGAGATGTTGAAATATGTGTGTGTAGATTAAGGATCATGTGAGAAAATCATCTTAGGAGAGAAATGAGAATAAATTATAGCCATCCGATGTCGTTATTTTTTAATATGTTGTGTCTCTCTCATTAAGGGTAAATAAGAGATTTTTGCATCACATTAATGCAATCCGATTATTTCCATAACTGCCTCCTATAATCTCTCATGACCAACCATCTTATTAATTTTTTTATTGTTCTGCGGTTGTTCAGCACTTATTCATCAAAATATTTTTTATTTTCTTAGCTAATCAAGATATTCATGGACACCTTCATTATTCTCTCATTCAAAGCCACATTGGAATACCCCTTTAAATATAAAAACTTGATTATTTCATCATTAATTTATGTTTAAATATATCTTATATTTTAGTTTTGTATGCCTTATTCAATTTTTTTGTATATATTTCAGGGCTTTTTATTTATAAGGAAGATATATGATGCTTTTTATAAGACTTTATTTAATGTTTAACGAAAGGTTAAAAAAAAGTGTCTTATAATGAAAAGATCACAACAACTCATTAGAAAGTGCACAATATACTTTAAATTAATTTGATGAATTTATCATACTTTATCAATGCACATTTTCATTTTTTCATTTTACTTTTTTGCAAATACAAGTGACACCAAAACGGCAAAACATACCATCACAATTAAACAATTTTCATGCTTTTGAAATAGAAAGTGCAATTATTTTGTATAAAGTGTCGACTATATTTTATAAAATGAGATATAATTGTACACTTATATATATTTATAAAGTGTGCATGATAAAAGTGCATTTCACTTTGTAAGAAAGTGTCAATATACAATTTAACAAAGTGTGAAATCACAGTGCACTTCTATTTCTATCAAGTGCTTTTTTAAATAATTAACTAACAATTGCACTTGTTCACTAAACAAGTGCACTTTTAACAATTACAATAAAAATGTATTGCACGCATTTACAATAAAAGTGCACTTCTAATAAAGTAATCCCTTCGTCCCATTTATATTGTCTTGTTTTACCTTTTCGGGAAGTCCCACTTAAATTGTGTCATACCATATTTGGCAAAGTTTGTGTGGCTCTAAATCATTCTTACTTTATTCTTACTTTATCAATTAATATCAACCACACAAACCCACTTTTCTTAATAACCGTGCCACCCTCTTCCGTCCCAATATAAATGGGACGGAGGTAGTATAAAATAACACAATTATTACTATCATGTCTATATAAATTACTAATACAAATTAGTAATAGAGTGCACTAAAAGTGTTGAATCAAAACATGAAAGTACAAAACTTATGTTAAAAAAAGTGCATTAAAAATATTTTTTTAATTTAAATGTTTTTAAAAGTGCATTATGTTAAAAATAAATGTGCATTATAATCAGAGTAGAATTTCAATTAAAAAATATATACTACAATAAAAACATTAAAAAATATATACTTCCGAATCAAAATAAATGCACAAACTGACACAATTTTTTTTAATATCTTATCCGAATTTTGTGTAACAGAATGATAAATTGGAAAGGAGTTTAATAGCATAAATGATCATATTAATGATAAGTTATTAGCTATCTTTTCTTAGCCAACCACTTGTATGAACTTTACCCTTGTGCCCTTAATTAATTATGGCATTGCACTCTTACTATTTTTAAAACACACGCTACACACTAATTATGGAGGAAACAAGCAACTAAGATTAAACAATAGCCATCTGATTCAACTAATCAATGGTTAGATTTTATTCTCTTTTCTCTCCTAAGACTCCTTTCTCACATGAACCAATCCCTATATAGGTTCACGTGAAAACTTAATCTTAGGAGAGTAAAAAAGAACACATCTTAACCATTGGATTAGATTATAATAATCCGTGTGCCTAAACCTTCACTAAGGGTAAGGAAGACAATTTCAATTATACATTTGTAGACTTCCTAAATGTACGGTGCATGATTTCCTTCTACAACTGATTTCCTTCTATATCTCTTTCCAAAGATATTTTCCTCCATCTGCGTTCTTCTTTCCTTGTGCTAACCGCGAACGTATTGATCGGATTTCGTCCAGAAGCAAAAGAGTTGCTTGGATTTTGGTGCTCTATTATTCCTCCTTCGTCGTTCTTCTTTCCGGCCTCTTTTGTTCTTGTCAAGTTTGAACCTATCGTATTTGGTGTACTGCGTTTTGAGTTTTTGGCTCCAGGCCAAAAACGATTCCATGGAGTTCGGTGAGTATTATTGGAATGAATTTTGTCATTGTTTAAACTGTTCAAGTTTTACATTCTTGGATGATTATATGTGCAATTTTTACCCAAAACGGACAATTAGGACATATGATTTTTACGTTGTTTCAATATTGTACACGACATGCACTTAATGTATATGAATCATGGATTTAAAATTTGTGTAATGTACATGCTTAAATTTTGACTATTTTGTAATGCACTCTAAATTGGATTATGATGGATATGCGTTTGGTTGGATATTGCACTTTTACTCTAGTGTATGTTAAGAGCATGTTTTTGTTAATTTCTGAATATTATTGATGCGCCACTTCAAATATTATTATGATGCTCTTATATGCATTCTTATATTGCACTTTTATTGTAGTGTATGTTAATAGCATGTATTTGTTAATTTCTGAATATTTTTGTTGGGCACTTTAAATATTATTGTGATGCTCTTATATGCATTCCAACATTGCACTTTTTTTTGTATACTTTGTGCTAAAGCATGTTTTTGTGAATACTTTTTTTGGCATGGTTCCATTAGATTCAAATGATGTTCCTTCAGTGCATCTGAAGCCGTTTCTCAATTGTTTGATGTTGATACAATGGAAGTTTCTCCGGGATCCACTATCACTAGTAGAAAACTGGCTTATAGTGACACTTTGTTAGTGATACTTTCTGAAATTATGCTACTACTGACATAAAAGTGTCACTATTTTCTGACAGACATATATCACTATTGATATATATCATTTAGTGACACTCAAACATTTTCGAAGAGTAGCTTTTAACGCGCGCGTTACTGTTTGGGCCGGGCTGCATAGCTTATATTTAATATACATAGTAGTAATACTCCGTATTTCGGACTTACATCTGCTCGCCTCTTTCCCTTTCTAGGAACCCTAGCAAACTCATCGTGTGATGAAGACGACGCCGCTGATCTTCCGGACGATTTTGGCGAGGATATCGTCTCCGCTTCTCCCGACGAGTTCAATGAAGACGCCGTCACCGCTGCCCCCAACGACTTCAACGTAGACAGGGGCACAGCTGCTCCGGACGACTTCGAAGAAGAAGATGCCGATGCTACTCCGACGACTTCGACAATGACCGCTGCTGCTTCAGATTAACAGAAGAAGACCTGGTTCTCCCCATTAACATTTGACGCACGAATTTCTGCTCTGGGGTGAAGTAGGCGCACATATTTCTGCTCTCCGGCCATAACCAACAATCAGCTCTCTTCCACTTTAGTAAATTTTCAATTTTTTCTATTTACAATATACTATTTTTTTCACTTAGGTTGAATATACTGTTTATTTCCTTGAAAATTCAAAGAAAACATGATAAGTTCTAGCTAATTAGTTTTCAATATACAAATTTCATTTAGACTGCAGATATTGTTTATAATATGTTTGTACAAATGCCCAAGTCAACGTTAGTATAACTTCCAAATGGGAGTGATAATGTAATTGATCGATATGATTGCATATCCTTTCTATACCGACTTACCATTTTGTCAGTTGCTAGAATTCAGACCGCATGTGACCAGGCCAGTTTATTTTCAAATTATGGAGGGATTTGGTCAAAATATGAAGGATCTAGATTTCTTTGACAATTTCAATTCATTGTCCTAAGGTAAACCTCAACACTGCATTGTCACTTTCCAAATGTGCAAGAGATATGGTATATTTGGACTCATCTTGGTGCTGCAGAATATGTACTGAAGTGGCACTAGAGCTGATTTTTGGCAGCTAGCCCCTGAAGCTGCTCAAGCTATTTGGCTGCACACAGATCACAGGTTCATATGTGAACGGTCACCCAAACGGTTGCAAAGAAATTATAATTTGGTTGATTTCTTACCTTTGTTTAGTTTATTTGTTACTTTTTTTTATGTTTTAAT